TTGTTTATCTGCAGTTCATTCATTAGAAACTGTTTATTAAACTAAATTTTGGACACAGTTTCGAGAGATATTAGTAGACAGTGAAGTTAACAAACACTGGAAATATTGGAAAATCCGACTGGTCTTGATCGCGTCATTGCTTGGCTGTTTTTGTGCAGCTGGGATTCTCAGTGTACGTCTTTTGGACCCTTTACATGTGCTTCTAATGGAAAAAAAAATGTAAACTGTGAATCATGCAAGCTACACTAATAGAAATAAACATTGAAGTGGCCCATTAAATCTTCGAGTATGGTGAATACCTTAAAAATGATTCTGTTCACACCTTAAATTAACTATTAGCTGGATGTGTAAAGTTCGATTAATAGTTTTAGTTTATAAAACAGCCTTTTTGACTTTTTAAAACAGGTGAACCGATCCTTCTTGGGAGAAATGCATTTCATTTAACACATATTTCCTTGACTGCACAACACCTATCAGCCATATTTTTCCAACAGATTGCAAAGTTTATGTAAAGCCCAGAGGCTGCTGGACTTTTGTGAAGAGATATTTCTTTGCTGTCAAGGTCACCTCAGCTCTGTGTGCTCTGATAAGCTAAAGCAACCTTATGCTGTTGTAGAGAACTACAAACACACTGTCTTTGTAGTAATGTGTAGACAGGCTAAAGTCCATTTTTGGTCCAGATACTTTCAAGTAAAAGTAAAAGTATACTTTTAAGGACCAAGCAGCACTGTGTAATATAAAGCAGGTATTACACTTGTTTAAAGACCTGTTTTTTGTTCTTGACCAAATGTTGTTTTACATCACGTCCTTGCTGTCAGATCGTGGAGGCCGGAGACACCAACCGTGATGGAGTCCTGGACTTAGAAGAGTTCACTCAGTATCTTCGTAGCCATGAAAAGCAGCTTAAAGACATGTTTCGCAGCCTGGACAATAACAACGATGGTCTGTATCAGATCACAACATGATCGTTTTTGTAATTATCTCACTCGTCTCTCACTCAACCCCTGTGACTTGTGAATATCTGCAGGTTGCATAGATGCAACAGAGATTCAGGTCTGTCTTCGCAACATTGGTGTGAATATTAGCTTGGAGGATGCCAACAGGATTTTGTTAAGGTATGTTATCAATCAGTAATCCATATTGCATTAATAATTCCTACGATCCCTGTCTATCATCAAAAATACTACCTGCCACCATTTCTAATAGGTTGAGCAGCGTGACACTTTCAATATTAAGCCACTGACTATGCTCTATAACCAAACTGGGGAGAATCTTTAGAAGCTGTTCAATCACCTCAGTCACTGTGACCCATTGTTACAGGTTTGTTAGTTACTCTCTAACCTAGAGATTTAGTTTTGTGGAATAATGTCAATTTTTGCTGGAGTCAATCCTCACTCTGGCCCAGTGATGGAGAGGAGGGAGATTTGTAGTATTTACAAAAGCTGTCTTTTATCCATAAAACCTTGATTTTAGCTTCATATTTAAAAAAAAACAAAACTAAACTGATTAAATCAGTGGATTATTTTAAGGGGATATTGAAAACATGATCTGAAAAACATTCAGAGAGTTGAAAACTTGAATATGAAGAGATCTCCACACTAATGAAACTGAGTCTTTAGAATAGATTAGAATAGCCCTTTATTGTAATTGTACATTTACAACAAAATTGTAGGTGCTCTACACCAACTGTCCTGCTGGGATAAAATATAAATAGTAGACAGCAGGAATAAATAAAAAACAAGAGAAAAATATACAAAAATAAGAGAACAATTGAAACATTGGACAACAAAATAGTTGCAAAGTGCTCAGTAGTAGTGCAAAGAAAAGACTTGGTCTGAAAAGAGTCCATAGTGATGAAGGTTACTCCGACCATGGCTCAGACTAGGGAGGCAGGATTGGTGGGCAGGGTGTATAGTGTTTGTTGACAGTCTGAATTGCCCAGGGGAGGAAGCTGCTTGTGAGTCTGGAGGTGTGAGACCTGATTGACCTGAGGCGCCGGCCAGAGGGCAGGTCAAACAGGGGGTGGGTGGGGTGCAAGGGGTCACCTGTGATGGGCCTGGTTTTCCTGAGACAGAAGGAGCTGGCGATGGCCTCAAGGGGTGGCAGAGGGCAGCCAATGATTTTTTGGGCAGTGTTAATTACCCTCTGCTCAGCTGTGACCCCTGCATACCAAACGCCCAGGCAGCACTAGAGCACACTCTTCACTGAGGAGCGGTAGAATGCCAGCAGCAGGTTCTGGTCCAGGTTATTCTTCCTCGGGACATAGAGGAAGTGCAGCCGCTGAACTACTAATAGTAGTAGTAGTTAATAAAAAAATAAAATTAACTTTTATCGATTTACATGAACTTACTGTGGTTTCAGTCCTCCCATCTGCAGTGAATCTGTGCTCCACCAGGGGGTGCCCCACAGTTTATGAATTGCTGCCTTAATGTATCAAATTGGTTTCAGTTAGTCAAGAGACACAAAGGAATATTTGTGTCTTCTATTTCAATGTAAACATTGACTGTATATAAAAGACGTAAGGTGTCTGAACCCTGCAGACATTCTAACCAGAGGGTGATGTCACTGTGGCTGTGTCCATCTTTGTTGTACAGTCTCTGTTTTTTTTCTTTATATGAATTTTATGACCTTTTTATCTATTTATATAATATTTTTTTAGTATTTATTTATATATGTGTTTCCACAGTATAGATAAGGATGGTACAATGACCATTGACTGGAATGAGTGGCGGGACCACTTCCTGTTTAACCCTATCACTAACATGGAGGAAGTGGCGTGCCATTGGAAACGCTCATTGGTAAAGTCGGAAACAAAATTTATCATACAGTATGCAGTGTGTTTGACACCACTGTTAAGAATTCAAAATATTTTTTTATTCCCCATTCCTTGTTACTTTTTTTTTTATATATACATCTTCTGACCTGCATGGCTTCAGTAGATGGTGGACATCGGTGAGCAGCTGACAGTCCCAGATGAATTTTCAGAAGAGGAAAAGAAGTCTGGGTTTGTCTGGCGGCAGCTGATGGCTGGAGCCATTGCCGGATCTGTATCCCGAACTGGAACGGCCCCTTTAGACAGGCTCAAAGTCTTCCGACAGGTCAGACTGGTGCACTTACAGCCTTATCTCTCTGATCACTCTGAATTCATCCATGTGTTACTACTTATGTATAAAAAGTCTTTTTTGAGCTCTGATCCTTTAATATTGACTTTCTTGCTTTACTCTGCCAGGTACACGGCTCCTCTGATTTTAAAGGGAATGTGCTAAGCAATTTTCAGACGATGGTGAAAGAGGGAGGAATCTGGTCTCTGTGGAGGGGAAATGGAATCAATGTCCTAAAAATTGCCCCAGAGACTGCTATCAAGTTTGCAGCTTACGAACAGGTGGAGAAAACTATGAACACACATTCAATTTTTCACCGTACACTCCTAACTCTTTCAAGGCTTTACCGTGATTCATCATTCTCTTATTATTATTATTTTCCTTTGTCCAAATATTTAAATCTTTCTAAATGATCTATTTAGATCATTGTGAAAAATAAACATATTCTCTTATGTATTCTCTCTGTATCGAATATGAATCCAAACCAGCAGCAGCTAGTTTGGTCAAGATATCGCGGAAGTGAGAAACAGATGCAGGACTTCTCAGGCTATTATTTCCTTTAATGTCCTCTGGTTGCATGGCAACAAGACTGCAGAAAATCACAATGTTTTTAACCTTCTGTGGTACAAATAATAAAAAAAAAAAATAGATTTAACTAATGAGAGATGCTTTCCTGAAAATGCTTATTAAATTCTAAAACATGGCAGTGTTGTTTCCTCATTAAGGATGTCACCCAAAATGTTGACTTCCTCATTGTGTATTATTATACACAATAAACGCTTTCCCCTCGCTCGTGCACCAGTTTTGCGTGTAAATTTTACATCTAATTTTGTTTCATAACTGCGATGTAAAATGTTAAATTTAATGGAATTTGCTCAAATGAAATTTACTTGATTGGTATACATTCAGTTTATTCTGTCCTTAATCATTAATTATATGAATAAATAAACATTAGATTTTGTAAAATCCTGTTGCATTTTAAATTTAAAATTATTGCTTTTGTTTATGAAGGCAAAGATTTTTTTTCTTTGCCTCAAAAGAAAGGAAGTGTTTTTAGGGAATGTTACGCAGTGGCTTTACTGGTCTGTAAATGTTGCACCTGATCTAAAACAATGTTGCGACTCCAGTATTAGACTAACAGGCATTCAGCTTCCGTTATCTACTGATCTACTAGAAATTCTGAGAACCACAAACCCTCCAAATCCTGGAGTGCTCACCACTGACCCAATCTGAGGCTCACTCTGTGCTATTTTTCGATTCTATTACTCTCTTTCCTTGCTGTTTCCATTACCAGGGCTTCAGTTTTTGGTTTTTTTTACCAGGTAGTTTTCTACAAGTGTTCTAGTTGTTCCAGCATCCAATATTTCCGCTACCTGGGGAAAGCTGCTGATAGCTACCAGTCATCTTTTTTTTAATTTCACAACTCAAGGCTTGAATTTGTAGGACATTTTGTACTTGGTGACATCTTAAAAGCAAAGCTTGCATGGAACAGATGTAAAAGCTGACAGTCATGTTATTTTTATTGTTCAGTTTACTTTTTAATGATACATTAATAATAATTGCCAAAATAATTTGTCTTTCTTCTCTGATTGTACAACCATTTCTCATTATTAACTTAAAAATTATGTATTTCTGCACAGATCAAGAAAATGATGCGTGGCAGTAATGAATCTAGGACTTTAAAAGTACATGAGAGATTCGTTGCCGGTTCTTTGGCTGGAGCAACAGCTCAGACAGCCATCTATCCAATGGAGGTAACAGACATAAAGAATATTTTTATATTATTGAGAAAACACATTTTATAGACTTAATGAAAATGAACAAGTTTTCTCCTTTTGTCTGCTTCTGTTTCTTTTCCTTCTCTCTTTCTTCCCCTCAGGTGTTAAAGACCCGTCTCACACTGAGAAAAACAGGTCAATACTCAGGAATAGCAGACTGTGCCAAACAGATCCTACAGAGAGAAGGCGTCGCAGCCTTCTACAAGGGCTATATACCTAACTTGCTGGGTATTATCCCTTACGCTGGCATCGATCTGGCTGTCTACGAGGTCAGAGAGACATGAAAACCCACAGCTCCCGCTGTGTTTTCCTTAGTCTTGACCTTCTTTTCATGCCTTTTATTCAACAGACTCTGAAGTTTGCTTGGCTGAACAGGAACAGAGGTTTAGTGGACCCAGGGGTCACAGTGCTGGTCGGATGTGGTGCTGTGTCCAGCACTTGTGGACAATTGGCAAGTTACCCTTTGGCGCTGATCCGTACCCGAATGCAAGCGCAAGGTGAGGATACGCGTGCCTTTCCTCACAGTTACAAATAAGTGACAAGTGAGAGGAATTTTAACGCATGCTGGTGTGCAAAGAAATTCCTTCATATATAAATTTTATATTTATAAGATTTGATGTGACTCTCCAGGCGATATATATGGTAAAGCATCATTCAAAGCATCAACTGCACATAATCGCATAAAGTAATGAGGGCAACTGTTTTTATTGTGCTAATACAGCTGAAATGGACAAGTACTACAATATAATCTGATGCCATCTCGAAGAAATATTGTCATATGCTTTGGTTATTGACAATTACGGTTCTGAGGGGTTGTGCACTTTCGTCGAATAACTGTCTTACGGCTGATTTAGCCTTCTGCTGTAAATCTATGTAAAGCCTACGATGCAACCTACATAAGTGGCCGAATCCTTTAGCAGAATTCATGCTTTCGTGGGGTTTTTTATGGGTTAGTTAGTTATATATTGCCCCGGCCATAATAGAAAGAAATAAAGTGTTGGGTCCTTTTTCCTGTGTCCTGTGTCCCTTCTATTTGTTCTGGTCATAGGGAAACAAATTATTTCCATTTGTTTGGAAATCCACAGGAAATATTAACAGTACTGAAAAGGCCAATCACAATAGTCGCAGGTTGCATTGATGCATCTATGTCATTAGATTTCCAGGGAGATGCAAATCAGGTTACAGTGTACTTATGGCATAAATTTAAAACATAAATTTAAAACAGAATCATAAACTGCCTGTTAGCAAGATGTTGAGCCACCACAGGGCTTTTAAACAGTAGCTTGACCAAAAAAAAGGAAACAAAGAACATCTTAGTCCAAGATATATTTCTTAACTTTTTTCCAGAGTCTTTAGCTCAGTTTTTTTCAACAGAGTTTGCTTAGTGTTTATAACAAGTTCAGAAATATGTAGGATGGACATGTTCAGCTCCATCAGATGAAGACCATATTGTGCCCCTTGTGTTAAAATGATCTTGATGTGGCTCATCTCTTTACTCTCCCAACAGCTTCAGTGAAGGGAGCCCCTAAGGTCTCCATGCTGACATTGCTTCAAACCATTTTGAGCCAGGAGGGCATCACTGGACTTTATCGAGGAATTTCTCCCAACATGCTCAAAGTCATCCCCGCTGTGAGCGTGTCCTATGTCGTCTATGAATACACAAGGATATTCCTTGGAGTGGATATAGAGGGTAGGAGGGTAGGAAAAGGAAAGGGGTAGCAAAAGGAGAAACTGTGGTGCTTTTTACCTGCAAGCTGTTGGAAGTGCATGGGTAGACAGGCTTTTGAATGATACAAGAGAATGTAAGTCTTGGATTTTGAAGATAAGGATGAGAGAAATCGACATATATACTGTATGTTATATATACAGTAATCTGTTTGAAATTCTGACATTTAGGTGACATATGATCTGTAATTGCTTTGCAATGCATGCCAGCAGGTGTGTGAAAGCTAACAGACTGACATTTTGCTGCTGGAGTGACCTGGACATATGAGGATTTGCATGAACTTGACTGAGAACAGGTAAAAGGTATAGCCGATCTTGAAAACCATATTATATTGCTACAACATTATTTTTTTTCTTCCAGGTGGTACTTAGAGAAGATGGAGGGCTGATCCAATTTCCTCATTTGTAAGTGAGAGGAATGATTGGTTACATCGTAACCAATTCTCTCTAAGTAGAGAGACTTACAGGGTCTCCCAGTCCCACATATTTTACATGTAAGGGGTCTGATCTCCATGGGGATACTCTTTAAGAGACATCACTGATTGGCTACAGAGTCAGAGAACCTAGGTTACAAAGTAACCAACTGTTCTCTTATGTATCAAGGCTCTCTCTCCACCCATTTTCCATGTATATGAGGACTCTGTAACAAACACAGTTAGGAAACGAAGCAAATGTAGCACAAAATGGCAGCTGAGTACTAGTGTGATTGTAGAGTTCTTCTACACATAAGCATATGCTCATGGTTTTGATCCAAGATGCTACCAAAGGTTAGCTGCCGCTCCCAAGCACTACGCCTACTTGCAAATGTAAGGAAAGCCACTTGGCTACAGTGAAAAAACAACATCATTCTCAACCATATGTGAGCCATGTGCTATAGAATCTAGCATGTGTTTTTCAATTAAGTCACTTTTAGCAGTCAAATCTGGTAAAAGTGGACAAGTTTGTCCAAAGGGCTCCTGTAAAAAATTTCTGTGAGAAACACATCCTGCAATAAAACCCATGAGGTGGGAGAACTCCTCAAGGAAAGACATGCATTCTGCAGGTCCTGGACTGCCCATTTAAATGAATAGTAGATCACCTCCACAATCCAATGAGAGGTTTCCCCAGGCAGTCTGGTCTGTTACCAACGAGTAGTTCACCTACTGATCTCTGAGCACAAGTCTGAAAAAGATACATCTTGAAAACAAGGCCTTTAAGTGAAATGGAGGGTTTGTGTAAAGCACCGCCTGCATAATCTGGCAGCCAGCTGCAACACTACTTGTGTGCTGAAAGGTCTGACGTTCTCATAGTCTTTCAGCTGATACCACAACCAGCTTGAACACAAAACCATTACCTCCAAATCCCATGGCAGGACAGCACAGCATAACACTACGAGCACTTTTGGCAAAAAGGCAATACAGGTGCTACGACCTGCAAAGGTTGTTTTCATGGCTGCAATCAGTCCCCTCAAAGCTAACAGGGCTAAACTGGAGAATGTCAGGGGCTGTGCAGATGAGGGAATCCACCTGTCTCACATTGAACTCTCTGTTTCAACTTTGCTTGAACTACTACGTAGTCATAAGAACACACCACCCTGTTTGATCAAGAGCCTTCGGCAACGCTGTGGCTGGAAACTCAGAGGCCAGGCCTAAAGCCTCAGCCTCTGTGAAAAGGGATGATAACGGTTGCTAAGATACAGACCTGATGACCACAATGATGAGGGTCACTCAACCTAAACTCTTTGCAGGAGGATACGGAGGCAAGTAAAGGGAGGCAGGTCAAATAGAAGGCCCCTAAGGCCACGGATGTGCCACTGTGCAGATAGCTGACTGAAAACACAACCCAGCGACACAAAGCTCACGTCACCTGAGTCCTCTGAAACTGACTGGGCTGGTGTAGCCTGTGGTGTCTTTAGGATACATTCTACAGCCCTGTTTATTCTCACAATTAGTGATTTAGTGGTCACACTTTACAGTGCCCTTTCCTCCGTCTGCGTCCCTCTGATTTCGCTCTCTGCTTCACACTGCCGGTCCCAACGTCCTACTGTGTAAATAAGGGAGGTCACGATTAGCTGATGACTGGCAACAGTGCCAGTCAGGCTCCCCTGGCACTGCCCCGGAACCCTCTGCCCCACCCCTCCCCTGCCGCTGCGTCACAAACCGCATCCCGCCACCATACTCATGTTTTCTGGACTCCATGGAAATCAAGTTAGTAAAAAGCCCTGCACACATTGCACCTACACTGCCATATTGCCAACCATTGTGTGTACACCACAGGTGATGTGTCTTAAACAGTATACACAGTAACTGAGCTTGGGGGATCAGTCCTTGTACATGTGGAATATGTAGGGTGGACGTACACTCCTGACTTAAAAGGGCAACAATTAGTAAAGCAAAGCAATAGGTATTGAAAACAAAACTACTGAACTACTGAAGAGGCACTCTGCCATGCATTTTCTAGAAGAGTTACAACTGAATAAAGCACACCCAAAGACTTTATATTTTACAGAAGATGAACTGCCAAAGCCATTTCAAGGAGCACAGATTGTTTCAGATAACTTCTTTGGCTAAATGCTCATGGGTAATGTCACTGTTCTTATGCAGAGAAGTATTTGAATGCTTTCTTACTACATGGGCCAGTGCCATGTACAGTATTTTCATAAACACTATACTAAGACTTATCTTTGTCTGTATCATGAAACAATAATAGTATTTAATGCAAGTGAACATTTTTTCTCAATATCAAAATATGTATGAATGAAAAATAAAATGAAAGCAGTGAACTAAATAAACTTTGCAATTTGTGTTTATTGAATGCTCCTTGTATTTGGTGACAGTTAGGGCTGCCACGATTAGTCGACTAGTCACGATTACGTCGACTATCAAAATCGTCGACGACTAATTTAATAGTCGAAGCATCGTTTGAAGCTTTGTAAGATATCAAAAGATGCAGGAATAAGTAGTAGGATTTAAGAGTGTAATAACGGACTGAAACAGAAGATGGCAGCACTGCATGTACAAGGATGCCAGCTGCTGTTAAACCCCGAAGAAGAAGAAGCTGCGTCCCAGAATTCCCAGCTCAGTTTCCAACAATGGAAGCAGCTAGTTAGTTTTAATATTATTCTTATTATTCTTTCTGGGTCACAAAATAAACGTTTAACATGTTTTCAGGCGAGAATTTAGCTGTGTAAACCTCAAATATCTGCTCAGTTTATCAAGACACCACATATTTTCAAAAGTGCTCAGAGACGTCTGTTACCCACCAGCTTGATAGCTAGCCGGGAGCAAGGCTCACTAGAGCCTGCGAAAACACCGGACTCCCGGCAAATCATTTTCAAACCCACCGCCGTCTTTCACTACTCAGGTTAAACATGATATATAAGTCACTTGGATAACTTTAAGATGTTATTGTTTGGCTTTTTTTTTTTTTGTATTTTATTTGCTCCTGAGTAAATCAGTTTGGCTGAGATTAAAGAGATGCTTGAGAATATCCTCCGGTGTCCTGTGATATTTTAGATAGCAAGGAGCAGACAGCTGAGTTTATTAAACTCCACCAAAACAATCTCCAAATTTCATTAAAATTTAATAAACTATCATCTTGTCTTTATTTTTAGTTAGCACATACCTTAAACACTTCAAGCTGTAAGCTAATGATAGTTATATAAGAGCAGATGCGTGCTGGTGCAGTAATCTGTAGTTTTACGTCCAATGGATGCATGATCTGATTAGTCGACTAATAGCAAAAATAATCGGTGACTAGTCGACTATCAAAATAATCGTTTTTGGCAGCCCTAGTGACAGTGAGTTAAAAGATGAAAGTCAGATTTTAAGAACACTCCTACTAAACCCCAGCTTGTTATTTTTACCTGATATACAGCAATTATGCAATTAAATTCAAATTTAATGAATGAAAAATTGTTTGTGGGGTTTGTACTTACCGTTTCCTATGAGAAGTAATTATTTTGTGAATTTCCAAATAATTTCCTGCGGTTATCCAGGAGAGCACTTCATTGCAGTCTAGAAGCTGTCGAACGCCAGTGAAGACTGAGTTTTTAAATGTTTCCAAACCTTTGAAATTGTCAGATTTTTCTTAATTTGCAATACAATATGAGGATTTTTTTTTAATCAGAATTGTGGCCCTTACCGTATATAATTTAGTTCTTCTAAAGGTCAAGACTGTTCAATTGGGACACTAGTTGATAATAATGAAGGAAGAGGAATACCTCCAAATTCTTCAATTTCACTCAGATCAATAGCTACACAGTTCAAACTCAGACACAGTTGGGTGTTTCAACTGGACACTGATCCCAAACACACATTGAAACTGGTGCAGGAATGGATAAAGCAGGCAATAAACATAAAGGCAAAAAACAGACTCAACAGAAGCTTCTACCCACAGGCTGTCAAACATGCCCTACCTCCAACCTGATTGAAGGTTAACTGCACTGACACGACTCATGGATGTTTTATATACATATATATGTGTGTGTGTGTGTGTGTGTGTATGTATGGGTGGGTGTATCCGTATGTATGCATTTGTAAGTATAACTTATACATATCTTTCTTGTGTAAATGTTAAGTTATTGTGTATTAGACACAATGGAAAGATGCCAAGCTGTGTTTCATTGTTCTTGTAGCAGTGACAATAAAAATCTATTCTATTCTAAAGCTCCTTGAATGGCCTTCCCAAAGTTCTCAACACTGTTGAAAATGGATCTGTGCCAGGAAACCAACCAGTTTAAATGAACTACAATTCTGCCAAGAAGAGTGGTCAAATATCCAACAATAATTGTACTAGAAGCTTGTTGATGGCTACCAAAAGTGTTTGGTTGAGGTGCATCTTGCTAAGGCACTTAGCACTGAGCCAAATATTATTGGTGATATAAAAAAATTAAAACTTGTACATCCAGTTTTTATTTTTTAAAGTCATGACAGATGTATGCTGCACAATCATGTCACTTTGGAAGATTTAAAGAAATCATCAAAAACAAAGTTACCACAACATTCATGACCATTATGAATGTATGTAAACTTCTGATCTACTGATAAGTCAAAATACGACCTTATACTCTTTGCAAAGTTTCTTTAGTTGAATGATTTGGCGGTGTGGTTGTCAGGACCAGAGCCAAAGGGTAGCCACAAATGGCCAAAGCCACTTCAGACTTCACTAAAGAGCCAGCAGTGAAAGCCACAAAGGGACAGAGCATATAATTGCTGAGTGGGAGTAATATTCTGACACCACAATTTCTCTTGCAGATGTTTTTTTGCAGAATAATTTCTCCCCAGATTTATTGCCACATGAACAAATTTCACAGGGCAATGACTCATCTAAAGCACAAGTATCTTATTATCTGTATCCAGTGTTGGGAAGGTTAGTTTTAAAATGTATTCCACTATAGATTACAGAATACATGCCCCAAAATGTATTTTGTAACGTATTCCGTTACGTTACACAATGAGAGTAATGTATTCTGAATACTTTGGATTACTTAATATATTATCATGCTTTTTACAACTACATGAATGTACTATTGCTGTGTGATTTATTACTATTACTGAAGGTTACTCGCCATACCAATACCAACTAGATTTTTAAATCTTAATATAAAATGAGTAACAGTAGGGTTGACATTAGGTAAGGCCGCACTTTTTGCAGCATCTGTTATAGAAAACTATTCCGCGCGTATATAAAACAGGTTTGCGGCTCTGAGCTGTCACGAAAACTAGCTACCCTTAACTTGTCTGGGTCTACTTTGCTAGCCAGAGACAGAGAGAGGCGTTGAAAGGCTGCACCAACGGAACTTATTGTTTCGGAGGAAAACAGAACACTGTGTACAGTCGAGTCTTAATAACTTACTTACAACTGGGCTCCTCGGGCACTCTTTTTGGCTGCAGTGGTTATTATTACATTTACATGCTTCCATCTCCCGATTCTGCTCGGTGACACCTGGACTTTCCACTCCAGTTTTTCTCTCCCTTCCTCGCGCTCACACACACGGGTATGGCAGTCCATTCTCCCTGCAGCACGGACTACACTGCCCATGAGGCTACATTCTTTAGGGCTATGCCTGTAACACTCTGCCCATTGCCTTCATATTAAATCATTTTTGTGAATAACTTTTTAAAAATATTTTTTCACGTCATTATGCGGCCGCAAGTAGGGGTGACATGGTCCGCAAGATTGAGACGGAGGCATTAGAGCCTCTTAATGAGGGTTTTGTTTGGGTTTCCCTGGCGTGGAATTACCAAAAAAAGAGATGTCATAGCCTAACATATGAAACAGGAAAAGACCACCGTGTAATCCATTTATTTATTTATTTTAAAGTAACTGTATTCTGAATACCATCCTTTTAAAATGTTACTGTAACGGAATACAGTTACTCATATTTTGCATTTTAAATACGTAACGCCGGTACATGTATTCCATTACTCGCAAACACTGTCTGTATCAGCAATTACATAAACATCAATTTAAGCATCCATTGCAATGGCTTCATGGTGTATTTCTACATAAGGAAATTACATATATGATATAATGTTATTAAGCTAAAAAATACACTTAAAAATCCTACAATTACTTGAACACATTGAAAGAAAAACCATTGAGATGACTAGACATCGGTTTCTGTGCAATTTCAGTGCAACTACGCTCCAGTCCGGATGGAGGCGACATTTTTTATTGTGTTTGAAATTTTTAACAATTTAACCCTCAAAGGTACAAGGAAGAGGAAGAAGAAAACCCGGGGTCGAACATGCATTGATTGGTTATTTCAAGCAGGGAAGTTTGCCGGCGTGGTAGGCGATCTCACACACATCGGTGTCTCCCTGTACGCTCCTGTTAACCTTCCCGCTTCTGCGCAGCTCGACCCGGCCAAAGCTGTCCAGCCTGCCTGCCCCCCCTTTGTGTGTGTGTGTGCGCGCGCGCGCGTGTTTGTGTTAGCCCTCTGGGAGCAGCATGTCTGATTACAGCTCTCTGCCATCAAATGGAGTCGGAGCAGGAATGAAAAACGACGCTTTCGCAGATGCCGTTCAGCGAGCCAGACAGGTAATCCAAGCGCTCGACTACGAGAGGAGTCAGCCGGCGAGCTAATTAGCCGCTCTGAAACTGCAGCTAGCATAACGACCAGTAACGTTAGCTTTAGTTAGCGAGGTAGCACACTAGCTAATAGCAAAGCCATTCATTTGCCCTACTTTCTGTTCAGATCGAGGCAATTGAATTGTGTGTGTTAGCATGGCTCTGTTACATAAATGAAATGTTTGTCCCTACCGCGATCCTTGAGGTAAATTTAGTGAACTTGGGCTAAGTAAGCAACATTTGCTTATTACCCGTTAGTTAACGGTTAGCTGTTATATGGGGATCATCTCCATTCATTTATGAGGCATTTATTAGGTAACTGTATTATAGCATTATGGCTGTTTTGATTCATGTAGATCATTGACTGAAAAGAGTTCAGGAGCCATCGTTTACTTTTTTTCACTGTAAAGGGTTATTTTTCAGCTAATGAATATTTTCATTAACAAGTATATTTGTTTATTTCAACAAAATAAAAAAAAAACACACATCGTATATTTTATATGGTGATAGTTATATTTTGAGATGTTGAATATAGATAATATTAAATTAATATTTTTTGATAAATTAAGATCGTTGAAGGTTATTTGTGATACTTGAAGGGACTGCTAGCATTGGATTATAGTTTCTTTGATTTATTAGATTTAAATTAGTGTGGGGTTGTCTGACTGTCGTGCTTCCATTAATTTGGGGCACAGTCACAA